TTTCTTTCTTTCTTCCTTTCTTTCTTTCTTTCTTTCTTTCTTTCTTTTTTTCTTTCTTTCTTTCTCTCTTTCTCTCTCTCTCTCTCTCTTTCTCTTTAAGTTTATCTTTCTCTGTCTTTCTCTCTGTAGAGCGCGCTCTGAGCGCGCCTTTCTGGAGCGTATGTCAGAGCGCGCGCCACAGAGCCCAGCCACACAGCCCAGCCACAGAGTTGACAGAGTTCAGGGCGCGGCCAAGAGGAGGACAAGGCCTGGACACAGAGCCCAGCCACAGAGTTGACAGAGTTCAGGGGCGCGGCCAAGAGGAGGACAAGAGGAGGACAAGGCCTGGACACAGAGCCCAGCCACACAGCCCAGCCACAGAGTTGACAGAGTTCAGGGGCGCGACCAAGAGGAGGACAAGAGGAGGACAAGGCCTGACAGAGTTCAGCGGCGCGGCCAAGAGAATGGACACAGAGCCCGGCGCGAGGACAGACGCGGAGCCCGTTGACAGGGCTCAGGGGCGGCCAAGAGGAGGACAAGAGGAGGACAAGGCCTGGACACAGAGTCCAGCCACAGAGCCCAGGCAGAGAGCCCAGCCACAGAGTTGACAGAGCTCAGGAGGACAAGGCCTGGACACAGCAAGAGTTCAGGGGTGCGGCCAAGAGGACAGAGTTCAGGAGGACAAGGCCTGGACACAAAGCCCAGCCACACAGAGTTGAGGACAAGGCCTGGACACAGAGCCCAGCCACAGAGCCCGTTCATGGGGCGCGGGCAAGAGGAGGACAAGAGGAGGAGCCACGCAGCCCCGCCACAGAGTTGACAGAGCTCAGGGGCGCGGCCAAGAGAAGGACAACAGAGGGCAAGGCCTGGGCACAGAGCCCGGCGCGGCCAAGAGGAGGACAAGAGGAGGACAAGGCAATTCAAAGCATCCTTCACATTTCAAAACAAGGCTCGCCACCTCGCTTGGTTTGGGGTTGCCGTACAAACTCTGGGGAACTACAGATCGAAACCAAACAGACCGCCAGCTAGGAGTGCGAAGGAATGGCCGTATTGTATCCGGGATTGTCAACTGGCGGTCTTCAAACCATTGACAATCCAGGAGGACATGCTCCAGCGTGGCTGGCGCGTTGCAGCGACAACACATGGCAGGGCCCCCTTTATTAGCATGGAGAACGGTGGCTTTTCGGAAGCTTTGGACACACTTCGAGCTACAGTGTAATCACCTACCCCTTCAAGACCTTGCACTGATGGCAGCTGACTAATGCGCTGCCACTGCTGCGCATGGTAAACCTCAACAAGAACCGCCAAACCGTATTCAACACGTTGGTCATGACAAGTGACAGACCACTGCATCTGCCAGCCAGCTTAAACATAGTTTGGATTGTTTGCATGGGGCCCACGGTGCAAATCCATGGGTAGCGAACACTGTCAAGGTGCTCTGACGACAGCCGTTTCCTCTTCCAACCAAGGTCTGAGGTGCTCTGGCCACGCTTGAACTAATTTATGCACTGCCTGATCTTCAAGCTTACCGTGAAATTGGAACAAAGGAGGACAAGGCCCAGCCACAGAGCCCAGCCACAGAGTTGACAGAGTTCAGGGGGGCGGCCAAGAGGAGGACAAGAGGAGGACAAGGCCCAGCCACAGAGTTGACAGAGTTCAGGGGCGCGGCCAAGAGGAGGACAAGAGTTGACAGAGTTCAGGGAGTTCAGGGCGCGGCCAAGAGGAGGACAAGGCCCAGCCACAGAGCCCAGCCGCAGAGCCCAGCCACAGAGTTGACAGAGTTCAGGGGCGCGGCCAAGAGGAGGACAAGAGGAGGAACAGAGCCCAGCCACAGAGTTGACAGAGTTCAGGGGCGCGGCCAAGAGGAGGACAAGAGGAGGACAAGGCCCAGCCACAGAGCCCAGCCACAGAGTTCAGGGGCGCGGCCAGTGAGTGTGGCCAGCTTTTTTCTTTCTAAGATAGAACCCCAACAGTAAACCCTTTGGGGAAAAACCATGAAACAACATATCTATTTAGGTCAGCGCTGCAAAGCCATCCGGTTTCGATTGCCTTGCGCCCACAACCTGGATTTGCGGACACCGTTCCTTGTTGGTTCCGGAGAAGCACGCAGATAGGCACGCAGATGGGATGGCCTGCTCTAACTGAGATCCTGACAACATGAACCTCCCTTGGTCCTCCCTTGTTTTATCCTACTTGCAAGTCATAGCCTGGCCCACTGAAACCCCAGCGACCAACCATATTGTGAAGCAAACGTTGGCTTCGCAACAAGGTCTGCTCGCTCCGTTGGAGCCGGAGGCAGGGTCTGTGGGCCTTGGGTGGCTGTGGCGCTGGGGTTTTTACTCAACCCTGACCCAACAGAACATAATCCATCGCTATTAGGTGGAGGCCATCGCTAGTAGAAACAACGAAAAATACATGCAGCAAGTCACCCAGTCCGACCGATGGGCTTTTGGAGGTCCAGCATCAGACGACCGCTGGTCGCCACTGACCACGGGATCTTCCCCCTACCCCACTCGCACAGCTGAAAACACAGAAAACCACAATGGACAAAAAACACATGGAACGTTGTTTTCCTCTCGTTGTGTGTGCTTGCATACTATAGTGGATAACCATTTTCCATTGCCATTGCCGAAGAAAATGGCTTAGTTAACAACTATGTTATTTTTTGCATAACCATTTTTCAGGCCGAAGTGCCTTGGTGGATAACCCTGGAAATACATTTTTTCAATTTTTTCATTTCCACCTTTGGGATATCTTTTGGACGCGCCCCCGCCCGTACCTCGAGTTCCGGCGAGGTCTCCACACCTGGCGCTGGGCCTGGCGGATGGCGACGTGCAGATCTGGGTGCGACGGCGTTGGCCGCCGTGGCGTTCGCGGCCGTTCGTGCTGGGGCGGGAGGTCTTTGGGGGGGGGTGAGCATTGAAGGGGAAAAGGCTGGTGAAGTTGCTGGTTTGGGTTTTTTGGACGGAAGGAATTCAGGAAATCCTTCGATGCCTTGGGTATTCTTGGGTCTTGTTCAGGAGCTAAGGTGTTCTGAGGGCGGGCAATCCCCTAGTCTTGATGTGTTGTGGCCTTTCCAACTTCTACATTTTGTCTTCAGGGCCTTGTCTTGGAGATCAAGAGGGCCTTTGCTTATGATCAATCAAGACCAGTTGGGGATCTCTGCCCTTCGCTGGGCTTTTCCAAACTTCGCCAAACCATTCTCCATCATGCTATTCCGGATCAGCAACTCCACAAAAGGTCTATGCGTGGGAATTGTGGTGTTGGTCCAAACCTAGACATGGCCATGACATGCCATGGCCATGTCTTCTGGGATGAACATCCATTTGCAACCTATTCTTTGGTGTGCACTACACGCAGAGGTCCGAGGGCCCGTGATACTGCCGAATTCAGTAGGAAAGAGGGACTACCCAGTCAATCCTAATTTGCAGCATTGCTTGCAGCAAGACCCAGTACATAGTGTGACCCTTCAGATGTTCCCTCATTCCCAAATGCTGCTTTTGGGAGTTCTTCTGCCTTCCCATGCAGGACATTGCTGTCGGGGCGCGCTTGCAAAACCTTCAAGGCCATCGCAGGTGCGGTGCAGTTGAAGCTCTTTGACCGGACTTGCTGCCCTGTGCCAAAAGACTAACTCCCCAACCTGGCCGTGGCAGGGTTTCATGCTTCTGACTCGTGGTCTTTTGGGTTCCCGAGTTCTGTCGTCACGCCATGGGGCAATAGCCAAGGAAAGCCCAAACGGATGTGAGTGGGGTGAAACCCAGCGGAAGGTGGGTGCGCTGCTCAGGCGGACCTGTGCCTTGGTATGGGCCGATGGCGAGCTCTTCAGTGGCTCACAGGTCTGAGACCTGATCTGGTGATCCAAAGGAAGGGAACTCTGGTGATTGCGCCGAAGCATCATGAGATGGATATTGGATGTGCCTGTTGGAGGTTGGGGGCGGGTAAATAAGGTTTGGCTTAGCCAACCCCAGTTGGGAACAGTCGCATCCGGAAACATCATGTTCTTTCGCAGGAACCGTTTACCTAAAGCTGCAGGGATGTGGAGTTTTGTTTGGACTTTCGCCATCTCAACACTCAGTTGTGGCCAACATCACCATTAGTCTAGTAAATATAGAGCTTCCAGATCCTTTTGGTTGGAATGATTCGGAGTCTTGTTTGGGCGTGGCAAATCCGGCGGTCCTTGTTGTTCTGCCGACATAGGAAGAGCTATGGCCGCTCACATGGGAGCTGGTTACCGCTCGAGTGCTATGGCCTTCCCGCCACGTGGGCGATCGCGGAAGCACCGTGCCGGTCCGGTCAGGGACCGCGGTAAGACGTGACCGTCACGCGGCTTCCTTCCTGCGAGGACACCTCCATCTTGCGCTGGGACCCTCGTGAGGGCAATGGTCGGGGGTGCTCAGAGAAGGTCGTTCTTCATGCACCGGAAGTATGGAAGTACTGGGGGAGCCAGTGAGTGGGAGTTTCGCGTTTTTCTTTTCAAAAGCGGGTGATGCGAAAACACCACAGCCTCAGCTCGGTGTCGCGAGGTCGTCCGACGCAACGCCTGGCTGGCCACACAGAGGAGGTGCCGAGCCGAGCGTTGAGAACGGTGGTTGGGCTTCACTCGGGATGTTTGGATCAAAAGTGCTTTTGGTTCCAGCCTGGAGGATTCTAGGTCCCAAAGGTCAGATTTGCAGCTTTGAGGAGAGCGGACAATCTTGGACTGGGAAAGAGGAAAAAGCAGTGGCAGAGTCTTTTTTGACTCCTGATTCATGCCTCCATGATGAGTGGCACATCATGAGGATGCAACACCTTCATAGACAGGCAATGCTTCTCGAAGATTTGGTGGAAAGATTGGTGAACACTGATCGGCCCTGATGGTTCAGAGGGAATGGCACACAACATCTATATTTTTCAACCAAAAGTGGTCCAGGCCTGCAGGATCCTGCAGGCCACCTGTTTCCATGACTTCTTTCTCTGAAGCTCTCGGATTGGCAGTGCCACCAGAGCTCATGAAGAGGGGACCATGGGGAAGAGAGCTTTTGCAATGACTGATCAGTTGTGTCATGTGTCGTTTGTCTCCTAAGGGTCGAGGTAGCTACATTGGTCACACTCATCCACAAGCTGAGATGGACATGAAATTGCCCATAAGATGGCAACACTGTTTTGTATGTCAGATACGTCGAAAACCAGGTCATGTGTTTTCAGTCGACTGCATCATTGTCGTGACTGAATCCTCATCATGGATTCCAAGGTCGAACTCCTTGGTCATTAGTCCCCACACTGGCCACACTTTTGAAAGGAATGAAGCAAAATTAGGCTTCGACAGGCTGTCGATGCCCTGGGTCAAGATCTTTATATTGTGCGACCGTTTGCAGCCACAACCACTGGTGTCATGCATGCTGCGTGATTTTCATCTGTGTTTTCAAACACTCCTAAACAATGCCCTAAACAATGCCCTCACTCCCCGAATTGGTGAAACCATGTGAAACCCATCGTTTTGGGAGGTGCAGACCATGACACTTTCGACGATCGACTCAACGACCTCGACGATTTCGGAGGTCTGTGGCTTGAGTTGGTCGGATGACTTGCAGCTGTTGGCCTCCGGTGGCAACGAGGGCCAGGCGAAACGCGGAGGGTGAAAACCCTCCGTGGCGGCTTTAAGAACGCGCGTGCGTACTGGCGTCCTTTAGGCATCCTTTGGCCAAAGAAAGTGTAGGGATGACCCGAAGGTCTATGCAGGTGCTATGAAACAAGCGATCGTCTTCCCATTCAGGTTCCCTCATTTGGCCCAGTAGATAGCATTTTGGGCCCTTGAAGATCTTGAAGTTTTTGTGTGACATCAGGGTTGTCTCAGCGGCCATCTGCCCACACACTGAGTCGTCGTTTGCCTGATTGTGGTTTGGACAGGGTCCTCAAGTGTTCGATGTTCTTCGTGACTCACTGGATAGTTGCAAGCCAGCCACTGCTTGGTGACTGGGTCCCACCTGCACATTAATGTCTGGACCTCCTGGGTGACGCAGAGTCCGGCGCAGCAGGTTTATCTTTGGAGTCCAGCGCAGCCGCTGGCAGCGGCGCGACGGCTGGGGTGTCACACCGCAGCCTGCAAAGCCTTGGAGTGGTCGCCGGGTGCCTGGGAAGAGGTGCAAAGGGGGCTTTCAACCTTTATTTTCCAAGGTGAATGGATGGTTGGGTAGAGATATCTTAGGATTGAAAGTCAGTCAGATCCCAATCTTGATGCCTTTTTGGCTCAAGAATTGGGACCTGCAGGTGAGTTTTCCTTTTGCATTTTCGTCAACATCGCATCCCCTTGAGAGCAAGCAGAATGCAGGGATTCGCAAGGGCACCTCGAAGTGCAGACTTCATGGCAGGCGCAGCGCTTTGTGAACCTCGAGAGGAGACAGCGGCGCAAACAATGGGTTTCAGTGTCGCACTGAACCTGGTAAGCCCAAGAACCACGCACCTTTGGTTTTACTTATTGAAAGCGGGTGCATAGAACAATACACGTCGGTGACGCAGAAATGCCACGCCTTAAAGGTCATCCCTGCAAGCGCCGCCGTCTTCTATGAAGCTGCGTAGAGAGTGTTCCCTTAGGCGCCTTGACGCCGCAATGACCCCCACTAGGTGAGGACGCCTGCAAGCATAGTCAATCGAGAATTGATGTTTTGCAACCCATTCTATGGTCACCAGTTCTCTTTAGAACACCTGGTACGTGACCAGTGATTCGGGACCAGGTAAAGGAGACATATCATCCCAAAGAGGATCGTCAAGTGGATGCCCTTTCCAAACTCCTTCCATCAACATCTTGCCTTTGACGGTAGGTGTTCAGCCAGGATACCTCGCTGCGAACCGTTCGATCCTCGCGCGCCCGCGCGCAGCCATGACGACCGCCTCCCAGGCCCCGGGGCGCCCTGCTGGCCACGGGCGGAGGCACCGCGGACCGGAGCCTAGGGCGGCCAAACACGGAGGAAGCCGATGGATTTGGTGAAGGAATGGCTGCATAAAGCCTCGAATATTTGGATCAGACAGCCTGTCCATGTGAGGGGTTGTGCCGTTTTGTCCTCCACATCGGATCTTGGGGAGTGTTTCCCCTCAAAGCAAAGGAACGGGGTTGTCATTCCAGCAGAACTTCGAGGATTCCTAAAGTCCAGATTTCATCTTCAGAATCGTCGGCGTGCTTGCTGGAGTACTCATTGTGGTCATGTTGGCAGGGAAACAATTTCTGATAATTTCTGTGTTTTTGTTGAATCCTGCTGCTCAGAACATTGTATTGTAGGAACTGCGTCCCATGGATCAATTGGCTCGAATTACACGCACTTTTTTAAATCATGCCCCTTGGAAGACTACTTTCCTTCCACTTCCATGTCAATGACTGGGATCGTACTTGTTTGGGTTTCATCCCTCCTTCCGGGCACCACACCGCTGGAGCCACCCCGAAGCCTTGTGACGGACACCGGGGAGGCCCCAGGGCACCGGACATGGCCCGTGAGGGAAACACACCCAAGACTTCCCCAAACGTAGATGTTCCAGGTCACCTATTACGGTAGGTACCTTGTTGCCCAGCTGAAGTGATCATTCGAGATTTTAGCATCATGAACTCTGCCAAGACATCATTCTAGTAAATCCATGTAATTCCATCAAGATCTTTTGGTTTATCTTGAGACATGCCCGCATTTGGATTTTGGCACTATATTGAACATGAAACCATGCATGACCTCGACCTAGAAGTTGTAAGTGCTACTTCTTTGCCTGTCTAACTGGGAGTTGTCTGAACTGGGTCGGTGGATAGCAGATGTGATTTCAATAATATAAAGCTGCATCGCATCAGGCTGGACGGTCCATCAGGCTGGTTCTAGGAATCCAAGCCCCCCATGAACCAACAATTTTCATGTCTTCACACAGGGTGCAAAGGCGAATGGTACACCATTGTGTGTGGAGCAAGGCCCATTTACGGGACAGCACCGAAAACATGGAATGGCAAATCAAGCAAGAACCTTGACACCAATCCGTGTATATGAAAGACCTCGGTTCTTCCGCAGTAAACTGCCGTCCGAAGAAACCGTGATGCCAAGGACAATCCGACTCTGGAACGCGTCCACCGGCACGCAAACGTCGATGGTGGAGACGGATTCGCAGGTGGGGGGGTTGAATGGGCATCCCTTGGTGTTCGGACGGTCGGTGGTTCTTGGTGTTGTGACTGGAGGGATGGAACCAGAGAGGTGATGACTTGCGCAGTTTACAAGGAATGAGTACTACATCAGGCTTGCACATGCAAGTCCACGAGTATATATCGGCCTGCCACGTTCTGTCTCACCCCGCTGCCTGCTGCGAGTTTCGCACCACGACCCCCTTCGGTGTCCGGCCAGGTGTGTAACCTCGCTTGGTCGCAGGACGGAGAGCTGGTCAGTACCCATGGTTTCTTGCTGCGGCCATTGGGAAGGGAGACCTTGGTGTTGAACCAATAGGCCTGACATGGCCTGACCATACTTGGCATTGACCCCGATATGATTTCCCAAAAGCGTCATTGGTTGGCACCCTGCCGATTTCAAAGTTGTCTGTAAATGTGGATATTAAATAAGGGATTCTCTAGAGTTTTTGGGGGCGAAGAAGAAAACTCTAAAGCCCTCTGAAGCTCATTGTGCACCATATTCCGCACCTTTGGAGATCTCTTGTCTCTCTTAGAAGAGTGGCACGAACCAAAAATGGGCACAAAAACAACCTCCAGCGTCCAGCGCTCTGCATGCGCTCAAGAACCCTCGCTGCTTGGGAACACCGAGCTTCAGGTGTTTTATGGTGTTTTTTTCCCCTTCACAGTGACCCTTTGCCGTTCTCTTTCTTCTCCGTGAAAGATAAAGAGAACAAAGGAATTTCGGCGGCGTTGAAGGAACGTTCCTCGTTCTCCAGTTTGCGTGGGGTCCGAATCGTTCGAGAGGAGCGCGTTATTTTTTTTGCGCAGCGCAAGAGCTGAGCTGAGGCTTCTCCACATGTGAAATCAATGTGTGGAAAAGCCAAGGAGGAGCGATTGGCGGTGGGTGTGAGGACTGGATGGATGCACACGGAGCTAGCCACACGAGGTCGGTGATGACTGGAGGTGACATTGACCGAAACGAGCTGGTTGGTGCTTCCTTAAAAGACAGCACCTGTTGGGTGTGCGTTAGAATGGAAGGAGGCCTCCAACCACTAGGGCCACCAGGTCCTTCGGCTGGTGCCGCGGAACACTGGGCGCCACGCAGGACTGTCTCGCCTTCACGTCTTTCAATGGCACCAGGCACACGCCATGCGTGTGGGCATCATGGCCGGTCTGAAGTGCAGGTGTTGTGAAGTTTGACATTGAAGAAAAAAGGCGGGGATGTTCACCTACTAGCCTTGCTTTGGCAACTTTCTATGTCTTTTTTACAAAAGACTGCTGAGAGTCTTAGTCCTGAATGGAAGAGGGGAAGTTTATCACCAGCCAGCTGTGGGGGGAGAGGTGCTTTCCGAGACATACCTGGATGTCACAGTCAATGTCAGCTGGCCAGCAGTCATAAAGGGGTGGTGTTGAGTCCCTAGTGAGTGTATAATGGGCACCCCTAACCTCCATGGATCGCACCCCTTTGTGAGTGCTGTGGTGCTTCTCCTTTCTTTTTCTGGACCTCGAGGCGCGGGTGCTCTACATGGCCATGCATCCTGCCTCAAACGCCGACATGAAGGGCCGGGTGGACTGGAAGGCTTCGACGTGGCAGCACTTTTGCTGGTTTAGGTTGAATTACGTCGTAGCTGACCAAGTGCGTCGGGGCCGGCCTCGTCGCCGACGACCGTCCGCCGCCTGACCGATCGGCTTCAGACCGATCACACCGAGGTCGCCGGATCGGCAAAGCGCGGTGGTGGGCACGGGCAACGAGATGCTGTGCTTTTGGCACCTGGCGCCCAAGGGCCCCAAGGTGGGGCGGAAAGCGGGGGTGAAAGCAAAGCGCCAAGAAGCGGAGGCTTTGGACTGAAAGAGAAGACTAGAAGGAATGTAACTAAAGGCTGCAAGGAATGTAATAATGCTATTCTCCAATCGATGTGGTGTCCTTTGTTTGATGTGTTCTTCATCCAAGAATTCAGAAAGGGCGGATGCATGCAGAGGCCAATTTGAGCACCCCATGGTCCGTTCGGAGCTTCTATGGATCTCGCAAACCCCACTTCCAGCCTCCACTGAATCAAGAAGCTTCACCCGTTTGGTGACCACCCGTGGGCGCTGGAGCACGGGGAGCACTGGGACTGTTGAGGCGAGCCTGACACCGGGCTCGAGCTGTTCGGCCACGATCTCAGAGGCGAGGAGAGCGGCCAAGAGAAACAAGAAGATCATAGAAGATCCGAAGGCATCTAGATATAAAAAAACACACACACATAAAAAGAGGATCAAAAAAAACTATTCCTGGATAGGCCTCTTCTGCTGCTCTCCTGGCCCTGTGGTCTGCGGGTGTCCACTGGTCCTTTGGTCCCTGGTCCCTTGGTCCTTTGGTCCCTTGGTCCACAGGCCCTTTTGGCCCCCTGGTCCTTTGGCCCAGGTCCGTGAATGAAAGTGCAGGCTCAGCTCTGACAACCCCACAAAGTTGGATGATAAGACCTTCACCTTGAGCTGTGACGCCCAATTAAACCAATCAAGAAACGAAGCAGCCCAGCGCTGTCTATACTTGATTTGCATTGCGGGGGAGGCGCTGCGCTCTCCCCCGCACCCTCCCGCTTTCTTAATAGTTTGCCAGTACCCCTGCCATTACCAGTACCTCCAACACCAGTCTTACCACAGTTACCACAACTATATAGTATCTTCTTCGCGTTGACGTTGACAGTGCTACAAAGGTGGATGATAAGGCCCACCTTTGCTTAGCTGTGGCTGCGCCCTACTACTACTACGACGACGACTACTACGACGACGACGACTACTACTACCACCATGTAACGACTTTTTGAGCCGATGCTCAACCCCAACCATCCTCAGTGGGCTAGAATATTTTTTTGACTCCCTTTTGATTTTTTGATTCCCGTTGAATATTTTTCAGAAAGGAGCGCTCTGAGCGGCGCGTTTTTGCATTGTTTCATTTTGTTTATATGTTATTTCTATATTTGTATTGTGTTTCTATTGATTTTCGTGCCACTGAAAGAATCCTATTCTGCCTCAACCCCCCCCTCCCCCAGAGGCAATTTCCAAAATTCCAATTTTCCAAAATTCCAAAAAAGAACAAAAAACACAAAAAACAAAAAACACAATTGTGCCAGGACTTTGCCTCACCCCCTCTTCCCCCCATGGTCTGCGCAGAATTGTTTTTTTTGGTTCTTTTGTTTTTTTTTGGAATTTTGGAAAATTGGAATTTTGGAAAATTGGAATATTGGATTTTTGATGTCCTGGGATATTTTAAAATTTTCAATTTCCTTGGAAGTAGACAATACTCCCACTTTCCCTCAATTCGAGAACAGTCTCTGAAATCAAATGACAAAAAGCCTCAGTGATTTTTTCATTAGGGTCTAATAATGCTCCTTCCGCTCCTTTGACTCGAAAATTGGTAACGCCTTACGTTTTAGAATTATAACCAGCAAAATTGACATCTGCCATCTTTTCAAATGACATACCAATAATGAATGTGTTCTCTCTGTATTGACGATACGAAAAACTTAAACTGTCTTGATCTGGGTTCATGTAATGGATAGCTCTTCTTAAATAGTAAAAGGTTTATGATAATGATTGCGCTTCAAATTCTGGGTATTTCTGGGAATTGCTCAATTGAATTTGCCAACTTAAACTACTGGTGGCATCTTGAAAACCTTTACCTTGTAAGTCATGTGTATCAGCATTACCAGTATCATTAATTCTTCCATAGATCATAGGATTGTAAAACTAATTCCATCTCTTATATACCTAATTGTCAGGTAAGTAGCGGTTCAGAACTTCACCAATTGTTGGAGTTCTAAATAAGGTAATGAATGCTCCAGTCAGTTAAGAAGATGATTTTACAATATTCATATTAATTTCACCACCACCAGCATTGAATGTTTGGGTGATTGTGTGATAACAATTTGTAATGTTTCTTATCTTTGCCATTCCGCCCCCTTCTATGTCCTGCCATTCTGACACTCAATGGCTGACAAGTAGCACCAGTATAGACATCGTCAGTTTTGTCATTTAGTATTCTGTAAATTTTTGCCTTGGAGTAACCCACCATAATATTACATATGTTAATTAAGTTTAAATGTGTTTTTTAAAATGAGTGATTAGGGTTAAATCCATTGCTTATATTGGTGCCGGGATTGATGTTCCAAAAGCCGTTCCCTTCAAAATTGATATAGCTGTGGCTCATTAAAGGGTTAGGTTCTTTCAATTCAGAAGTTACAGCGTAACCATCCAAAATTTAAACAATATCGGATGGATTGTGGTAGTCAAGTCTTTTGGTCTTTTTTTCCTTTCCTTTATGTTTCTATTGTAGGGGTAGCATAGGTTGTTGTAGCAAATCTATTAGGTTGTTCTTGATTGATCTTATTACAGCACTTGCATGGCTATGTCCAACCAAGTGGATTATTTTTGGTGACTTTTCCAATTCTTCTATAACATGTTTGTATTTCTCACTGCGATAAACATTTCTAATAGGTACTAATAACAGATCATCCATAATATCCCTGGTTAAAGATCCATCACGACCACCTGTGCCACTTATGTATAAAGTCTTACCTGTTTTGTAAAATCCACTTGGTGATGAATAGGCATTCCATAAGCCCCTGCGGTCTTTTATCTTCTCCTTGTTTGCTACATTTTGTTCTTCAGCATATAGTGTTCTATGTTGTTTAAAGTGATCATTTAAGTTTCTTGTAAAGTCATTCATTCTATCATTCTTTTTTTGGTTCTCTTTTTCATAATCACTGTAGGTTTCTTGACTGATCTTACTATACTGATTACCATAAGCCCCTGCGGTCTTTTATCTTCTCCTTGTTTGCTACATTTTGTTCTTCAGCATATAGTATTCTATGTTGTTTAAAGTGATCATTTAAGTTTCTTGTAAAGTCATTCATTCTATCATTCCAGTTTTGGTTCTTTTTTTCATAATCACTGTAGGTTTCTTGACCGATCTTACTGATTAACATCGGGGCGCTTCCAGGCAGATCCTTCCAGGCAATGTCAGACACATCAATCATTCTCAAGAAAACGCATGAAAAAGGTTGAAAAATGCTCATTTTCATCGAAAAACGCGCCGCTCACAGCGCTCCCCTCTCATATTTTTTTGTTTTTTTTTACCTTTTTTTGGATCCCTTACCCAGATCCGAAGCTCCCCCCAAACTTGGAGATACAGTATAGACCAGATGATATGTATACAGATGATACAGTACAGACTTGGAGATACAGTAGATATTCACAGCGCTTCGCGCACGAAGCCGCCCGCGCGGAGTGTGTGCGTCTGTTCGGGCAGGACGCACGGAAGAACACACGCACAATGTCAATAGTCTGTCTCGGTCGGTCTGGGTGTCTGTCTGCCTGCCTGCCTGGCTGGCTGGCTGGCTGGTCTGTCTCTGTGTGCCTGTCTGTCTCTCTGTGTCTGTCTGGGCCTGTCTGGGTCTAGATCTGCCTGGGTCTGTCTGTCTGTCTCTGTCTGTCTCTGTCTCTGTCTCTGTCTCTGTCCCTTTACATGCGATTGTTCCCCCAAAAAACATCAAAAACCACATGCTCAATACCACTCACCTCATCCAGTCGGACTGGGCACACGACCGAACACATCCACGATATCAATCGTACAGTGTCCCGCGGTTTGCCTAAACTATTTCGATTTATGCGATGTTCATAATGCAGTCTCCCCGGCCGGCATAACCGGCATCGCATATCAATAGTGCAGTGCTCCTTGGCTTGCCGAGACGTCTGCGATGTCAATAGTGCGATCTGCCCCGACCAACTTATCCTGCATCGCCAACCTTTGGTCCAATTTTAGTCACGTTTCAAAAAACATTGAAAAGCATAGCATTTCTAGGAGAAAAATGCCCTAGGATTTATCTAGCCGATGTTTACACGAGCCTACACAACGCCCTTGGCACCTCCGGTGCGGGCGGATTTCGAAGTGATGTAACTAGACTAGACCTCCCAAGATCTTGAACTCCCTTCCCGTGGATTGAACATAGTGAACAACTGGTTCCACCAGATGTCGTACACCATGGTTAGAACCTACCGCCCGGGTGTCTGAGAGGAGCAGTACAAGTTCGAAAACCTGCAGAGACCTGTCCTTGACTCTTTCCCTTTCACTTCCAATCTTGTGAGAGCGCCTCAAGAAGTGTGGGTTGTGGAAACCACCCCACCTGCCCAGACTGGAGCAACCTAGAATTTCAGACAAACTACATCGAACTACTGTAGTGCCTGCATTTGCTTTCCAGACTGCTATAGTTCGGCTCCCCACCAAGACTGGGGCCTCGCCAGGGGTCAAGCCTGAGCCGAACCATCCGCTGAGCAAGGAGTTTTCTGCTGTGGTGGAAGGGCCCGAAGGAGAACTTGGGGGGTGAGCCCTTTCAACAGATATGATATGACTCATGTAAGTAGTTAAGACAGTCCCTGTCGAGATCCTCTGAGCAAGCCCTTAAAGCAGTGTACAGAAAACACGACATCAGTTCTTCTTTGGCTGGAGACGTGGCTGGGGTAAAGCTCCAATCTGTCAAGTCTTGGATCGGTCTTCCAATTGACCTGGCTTGGTTGGGATGATCCACATCCATACCCGAGGGAGATCCTCACCATGTCAGGTTTTCACACGTGGAGGATGAGAGGTCACTGCGCTGACAGCAGGTATTTGAGGTTGCGAGCCTCTGTAGGGGCCTGGAACCCAGAGGTTCCAGGATTCAGGAAGTGGGAAGTGTCTCAAACTGCAAGGACGCTGTAGATGAGGTCACACATGTTCGATGTGATGTTGGACATGTGAATACTGATTTTGAGACACCCCATGTCCCATTGTATATACGCATGGAGGTCCATGTTCACCTCAGCCTGTCGGGGGATTCCCTGTGCAAGACGCACAGGTCGAGCAAAGGCCGCAAGGACTGAAGATGATCCAAGATCCAAGTTGCGAGTTCTCAAGTCGGGCTCTTCCAACCATGCCGCATCATGGGCAAGGGGGCACCTTAGGGCACCTTGGGCCAGGCAGGCATGGGCAGCCCTCGGGGCAGAAGTTGAACTTGAGACCAACAAGTGGCACAGTAGACTTTCTGGACATGGAGAAGCTTTATCAGCAGACCAAGCCATGCGCGGGGGAGGGTCTGAATTTATTCTCTTGAGGATTTGTTCAGGGAAAAGGAAGGAGCCCTGAACCCATGTGACTTGTGAAACGCTGGTAGTGTGCACTTCCTTGGATGCCCCTCATCGACGAATGACCCATTCCTTGGTGGCCTACAGGCTTAGCTCGTATCCAAAGGCTTAGCGTCTTTCCGTCGGACGGTGCTGTCGATACGAGAAAGCGGGAAAAAGGCACGGGCCGACGCGACCGGTGACCGATTGCCTGTGAAGGCAGATTGCAAGCTCTGTTGGGAACAACAACTGGATCCAATGAAGGAATGCCCAGGCAAACACCTCGTGGGGTCTTTGGAACCTTGTGTATCTTGACAGTCTTTTGGCGGGCCTGTTGACTTGAGCCTCGTTTAAAGATGGGCAGTTCCAACATATCCAGATGCCCTGTCTTGGCTTCCAAACGGGCGCTTCTAACATGTCTCTGAGTGACTCTTCACGGGCGATGCCGAGCTTCCCTTTTTTGGGCAAGCAGAAGAACCGGGATTGGCAGAACCTGCGGAGCGACCATCAACTCACATCAACCCTTTCTCCAGACCACTGGGTTCTACACGGCCTTGCCGAGAAGGTTTTGAGGCAGCTGGAGCACCAAGCCGAGCAGCAAGATGCACAGGTCGCTCGGTATCCGAGCTCCCATAGGTCCCATAGGTCCCATGGTGGTATTGAACACGCTTCGACATCACGGACATCACGTGATTGATCAAAGGCCGCCCGTAGTGATCGTATGGTTTTCTTCGGAAATACGGCCGTATGATACAGAATCATTCTCTCAAGGGAGACATGGGAGTAATGCCCAGCCATCCAAACTAGATGTTCATCCCTTTTATATAATTTCTCTGCATTTTTCCATCTGGCCTTGTTGATGGAGGTTCTTGAGCTACCTCTTCAACATGTTGATACCGTTGCTTTATGCACACACACGGTACACTTATTAGATTAGATTGTTCTCCTGGGTCTTCCAGTCTTCTAAGATTCCAAGAAAGCCTGAACATGGGGCTGAACATGACAGGACAAGTCTGTGTGGAAGTTTGCCAATAGGTTCCACCATGACTCTGTTACAGTACTTATTTTTTGCTTTCAAGTAGCCAAAGCAATGACATGACATGTTTTTAGGGGAACAAGGCTTTGTACTATATGTAGTGATCCCAAAATAGATAGTGGCACAGTTTCCAATGCATTTTCAGTGGGGATCTACTTTTCTATCTATTTGGGGGTCCTGATTGGTCAAATGGGTTCCTGGTATGTATATATATATATATATATGACCATCCAAGGGGTGTCGAATAGACTACCCCACCTCGAAGCCTTTGGGCACCCCTTGGATGGTATAGATCATGTTGTTGTTTTAGGCTACTCTTCTTCTAGAGTTCCGCGGCCAGGCAGCTTCCACGCCCCCGAACCTCCGGGCCCGTTCCATGGGCGTCCGGCCACGAATGGAGGCGGGGGACGCCCGGAGGACGGCGCGGGACCCGGAGTGATGGAAGAGGTTGAAAGAACCTTGACCATTCTGGAGTTTTGGCCCATGAGGTTTCTCGACCGAAGCAGCCTGCGCACCGTATGTGCGCGAGCTAGACAGATGGATTTTTCCTTGAAATGGAGTTGGGGAAGGTGGTGCAGGTGCGGTGACGAATCTGAGCAGCTCTGGCCGAAAAAGAGCGGGTGGCGACCATGCAGACCCCCGGAGACCATTGTAGAATTGAGTTTGTGCTGTCTGCTCTGAACCTGTAGAGCGATGAATCAGACATACATCACCATGATCGCCTTTGACACCTTTGGAGTGTCTTGGCCTCCTTTTCTCCTCTGGGGCCTGGGGGGGTGGTTGAATACCCTTGGACACTGCCCACGGTGAAACGGTCGACCCTCACGCCGTAAACGCCTCACCACTCCAGTACTGCGCGTGGTCCGGTGGAGTCCTCGGACTCCACCGGACGGCGACAGGTCGAGGGTTGGGATCTGGACCGGCTCAGCTCCACCGGACCTTTGGAGAAAGTACGAAGAATTCTCTGTTTAGTCCCTATAAGTGAGGGGATCATGGGCCCCCTACCCTTCATGGATCGCACCCCTTTGTGACTTCTGGTGTGATCCATTTGCAAGGTCATTCAGGGAGTTGATCTCAATCAAGGTGTCTGTGGGGTGTGGTCATGAGAAGGACTCGTGAAAGGGAGGTTCCTTCGGGTCGGGGCGGCCGTCCAAGTGTGCTTTCCTGGTGTCAGCCTGCTTCGCATGCCCGTGAAGGATGGTCCAAGATGTCCAATGTGTGTTGACATAAATGGTCCAAAGCAAAACAGGAAGAGAGTGTCCCCTCTCCATAAACCAAGAACAGAAGTATAGTTAGACAGTTAGACCCTTCGTAGTTTCTTACAATCGATGCCGCTGCCTTGCTGGTTATGTGCGATGTCTAAAAACGCCAAACTTTGTGAGTGCAACCTCGACATGGAACATGGAGTTTTGGCCATACGCCGTTGCCGGCCGCACCGGTCGTCGTTAGCAGGTTCCGCGGGACCGGCGGGACCCGCTGCTGGTGCCTCCACCCCGGGATGTGCGGTGGGGGGCGATACTCCAGCCAACGTTTGCTGGTATAGTCTAGTGCTTGGAAAGGACTTTCAACACATTTTAGATGGGATTCACTTTGTTGGTTTGGGTCTCAATAGTACTATATTATATACATCAATTGCTTGTTTCTTACAGAGAAGCAGACAGAAGCAGACAGGCAGACAAATTCTGTATCGGACCATCGCTCACATCATCACTTCTCTCACCTCGGCCTTTTGGAGCCCCATTTTCCGACACGAACGGACCGTTTTTTCGACACCGTTCGCAGTCGAAGACACCGAGGGAAAACACAGGCGATAGACCCGACCGTTCGTGACGAGGGAGATTGGGCAAGGTTTGTCGAGATGTAGTCCAAATAATTGGATTGGTAGGTAGGATGTTGTTTTATCATGTTTGATAAATCAGTATGATTCGAGAAACACATACAAGAAGCTCCTAAAAATGCCTGAGCTGAAAACAAAGCCAATTTGCAGGCATCCAGCTGTAGTTGTGATGCAGCCATCCAGCCAGAAAAAGACTATTGTTTGATACTTTTTGTTGTCACTGTTCCCAATACAATCTTGGATCAGCGCGGCCTCTTTGGCTCTGAACGGGATATGAACCGCTTGTTCGGAGAACCGCGGAGAGAGAGTGAGACGTCTGACTTCTGGAAAGCAAACAACAAACTGGCACTAGTTGCAAACAACATTCAAATCTTCCTAAGTTGATCTCTTTTTGAACAAATCGTAACCGAAGGAACATTGGTCAACGTTTTTCCTCAACATTTGGGTCACTGTCGCCCAAAACCCGAAGCGGACAGAGCCTTCCCTCATGCAGGTTCGTCCGCGCGCCGTGCGCTTTTTGGGGAATGGTCTTTTTTTGTCGAAGTCTCAGCCGTAAATGGTCCAAGTCACCTCCAAAACGATCGTTGACCACCCCAGACACGATCCGTGAGCCGGGAAGTGAGCCATGAAGGTCGGGTCTTGTGGTGTACAGTGGCACAGGAGATGGCTCTGGCACCCCAAGACGTCTTTTGGATGGGGGTCCATATAATGCCGTGCAGTAGTTGGCGTGTTTTGCTTGCACCCAGTTGTAGATTGAACCTGAACTGCTGGTGCACTTTGTGCATGGGGCCAAGAGGATACACGCGTGCAATGCATGCCTTCATGCCTTATCTCCACAACAGTAACGGGAACAGATGAGTTGCAAGGAAGCATAGAACAAGTGTAAATTGATCTAGTTTTTGGATGATCACACAACACAGGAGTGGCACTTTTGGCACCTTTTCTGAAACGTCCCGAGAAATCAGCGGTTGAGATCAGAAACCATCTAGAAATGCGCACGCTCAGTTGAAAGGACCAGATTAGAATAGTAGTCTACAGTTCACTTTATCCTCGCACACCAATCAATCCAGACATGGGTGCTCACTTTCGACCCAGACACGGGTCCCTCCCCACTGCCATGTCTCTTCGCCCCAGGCGCCGCAAAGCATGCTGCCGGCAGAGGCGGAAGGCTTAGATGCCAAGAAGATGCTGCAGGCGTGTCTCGCGTCACGGGTCGCACGGGTCGCGTGTCCGGACCTGACCGATGGTGCTGTAGAGACCTGCCGTTCATGTACTAGCTGCTAGGACGAAAAAACCGGTCAAGCACGCCTTGCTTCACAGGTCAAGCATGAGGGTGCGCTCACAGAAGTTGCTTTGCCCACCAGCCAGATTTTGCATGGAAAGACTCGTCAAGAATAAAACATATAGGGATGGCAAGTGGCTTGCGGAGAAGTTCTCATGATGTGAATTAGGGTGTTTCTTCCTCCGTTGTGCCAGGACAAGAATTTGGTGAAAAGCCTTCGATACGACAGCCAGTTCTACAAGACCCGCTGGCAGGGGCGGAAGCTGGCTGACCAAGGTTCTAGAGGGGCCCCCTCTTCGGCCCAGGGTAGTACGGAGTCATGACCGACTTGGAAGACAAAGAGTTGATCTCTCTTTTCCACGAGATAAAGGTTCAAAGTGTGCTAGAACTGCAACAATAATCCATCTATCATCACCGGCCAGGCAACTGGCCCCCCCGCGTCAGGTTGAAGCACTTTCCAAAGCTACCCCCATCTATGCCTTTAACCAAGATAGTTAGAACATTTCAGACCCTCGAACAACACCCTTTGGAACACTGACGTAGACAGCGGAAGCAACGAGATGTGCGGAAGTCTTGAGCAGCTTCCGGAGCACTGAACTGTTCAGATCCCATCTGCTGGGCTGTAAGGTCGGGTCTTCAGTAAGTATGCATCGTCTTCGGGTTCCAACACAGAGATCTTAGAGGATCTATAAGTCCATGAAAGCCCTCGGTCCCTTTGTTCGAAGCCCACGTGCTGCAGCTTGGAAGTCTGCGTTGGGTCACAGAAAGGCTCGAAAGAATCAGAATGTTCAGGAGTTTCCGCACACCAGACGTGGTGAACTCCGCTTCCATGTTAGTGCCCGGGAGTGTAGGGCCGCACAGGACAATTCGGTGTTTGTGTGTCACAAGACATTATCCCAGCAAGAACCCCCAACCTGATTCAGGGTGACTCGGGTCTAGCTGGGCATAGGAAGACATGACTGTGTATCTTACTCAGGGAGGTCTCCAAGCAATGGGTAGGCAGGTCTATTTCCCTTCTTCCAGAGGGTCTTTGGGTGGGGGGCACCCCTAGTTTACAGTAAATATACACACATATTCTCAACAAGTGTCAAGTGTAACTGACTGGTGCTGGGTCGATGGTGGCTGAGGGTGGCTGATCCAAAGGAAGACACGACTAGAGTCGAAACTTTCCTCGTTCCCGACTAGACACCAGTATGATAACCAAAGCCAGTGCACATGTTTGATTCAGCCCTTTGCCTGCTGTTGAACGCCGAAGACTGCCGCTGCCCCCGCGAGCCCGCGTTGTGTGTTGGCTGTGACCCACATGAGATGATGGAAAAGACATCGATAGGCACACTGGTCCACCACAACAGGTGTTCACAGCGTCCAGGGCATCCGTGACGTAAAAGGACATCCTTTGCATCCAAGTCAACCTCCTCACCTTGACCACCTCACCTTGCCCTCTCGGCCATGTTCTGGCGAATTCTGATTGCTTGCGCTGCGACTTGGATGATTGCTTTCGTGACCGGACTTCGCCAAGTCGTTTTCTTAAATGGTGGAGGTTTCTGGACGTTGTTGCACCTGAAGGTGGTTGACACCCTGCCTGACATCTCAACGCTCCGGGCAGCAGCTGAAAAGCATCACTCATCGATTGGTTGGTGGTGACACAGTTTGATCACCATTTACGTGGCTGCGAGTCTAAACCCATAACACCTGGTAGTAAAAATTACACCAGCATCGACCCCAAACAGCAGCGGCAGTCGGAGTTTTCTTTTTAGCCGATCCATTCCTGGCGCCAAATCTCAGCCCAGCATCCAGACACGCCATGGGAGACAAGGGGAGACGAAGGCAGGCAAAGCAAAGTCATCTCAGCCCAGCATCCAGACACGCCATGGGAGACAAAGGGAGACAAGGGGAGACAAAGCAAAGTCATCTCAGCCCGGCATCCAGACATGCCATGGGAGACAAAGGGAGACAAGGGGAGACAAGGGGAGACAAAGCAAAGTCATCTCAGTCCGTCATCCAGACACGCCATGGGAGACAAAGCAAAGTCATCCCAGCCCAGCATCCAGACACGCCATGGGAGACAAGGGGAGACAAAGGGAGATCAAGAAAGACAAAGCAAAATCATTTCAGCCCAGCATCCAGACATGCCATGGGAGACAAGGGGAGACACAGAGAGACAAAGGGAGACAAAGCCAAATCATCTCAGCCCAGCATCCAGACACGCCATGGGAGACCAGGGGAGACAACAGGAGACAAAGCAAAATCCTCTGAGCCCAGCATCCAGACATGCCATGAGAGACAAGGGGAGACAAGGAGAGACAAAGCAAAGTGATCTCAGCCTTGCTTCCAGACACGCCATGGGAGACACAGGGAGACAGAGACAAAGCAAAGTCATCTCAGCCCAGCATCCAGATATGCAATAGGAGAGAAGGGGAGACAAAGGGAGATTTACAGTAGAAAGACAAAGCAAAATCATCTCAGCCCAGCATCCAGACATGCCATGGGAGACAAGGGGAGACACAGAGAGACAAAGGAAGACAAAGCAAAATCCCAGCATCCGGACACGCCATGGGAGACAAAGGGAGACAAGGGGAGACAAAGCAAAGTCATCTCAGCCCAGCATCCAGATATGCCATAGGAGACAAAGGGAGACAAGGGGAGACAAAGCAAAGTCATCTCAGTCCGTCATCCAGACACGCCATGGGAGACAAAGCAAAGTCATCCCAGCCCAGCATGCAGAGATGCCATGGGAGACAGGGGGAGACAAGGAGAGACAAGGCAAAGTATCCCAGCCCAGCATCCAGACATGCCATGGGAAACAAGGGGAGACAAAGGGAGACGAAGCAAAATCATCTCAGCCCAGCATCCAGACATGCCGTGGGAGACAAGGGGAGACAAAGGGAGACAAAGCAAAATCATCTCAGCCCAGCATCCAGACACGCCATGGGAGACAAGGGGAGACAAAGGGAGACAAAGCAAAATCATCTCAGCCCAGCATCCAGACACGCCATGGGAGACATAGGGAGACAAGGGGAGACCATGGGAGACAAGGGGAGACAAAGGAAGATCAAGAAAGACAAAGCAACATCATCTCAGCCCAGCATCCAGACACGCCACCGGAGACAAGGGGAGACAAGGGAGACAAAGCAAAGTCATCTCAGCCCAGCATCCAGACATGTCATGGGAGACAAGGGGAGACAAAGGGAGACACAGAAAGACAAAGCAAAGTCATCTCAGCCCAGCATCCAGACATGCCATGGAAGACAAAGGGAGACAAGGGGAGACCATGGGAGACAAGGGGAGACAAAGGAAAATCAAGAAAGACAAAGCAACATCATCTCAGCCCAGCATCCAGACACGCCATCGGAGACAAGGGGAGACAAGGGAGACAAAGCAAAGTCATCTCAGCCCAGCGTCCAGACATGTCATGGGAGACAAGGGGAGACAAAGGGAGACAAAGAAAGACAAAGCAAAGTCATCCCAGCCCAGCATCCAGACACGCCATGGGAGACAAGGGGAGACAAAGGGGCGGGAATCATCTTGGCCCAGCATCGTTCCTATGCAAGAATTGAAAACCCCTCACAGCAAAGCTGTTTGGGGAAATAGGCACGGATGACTGGCTGGCTTTAGCATCGTGACATAGGTGTCGTGGCATGTAAAGAATTGCATAAGGCCTGTGTCAAGGTGTCCTGTTTACTCCAGACATGCCCCAACTGGTCTGATGAGATAGGACTTGTGGAAGGTGGACAAGCAAAACCAATTAAAAAAGCGCATGATCGACCTGCACGGAACAGTGTGACTTAGGCAGCCCTTGTTTATATTTTTTTTCCCCTTGCCCCTGAGACTGGTCTATGTCATGCTTTGCCCTCCCGGAGTTTTTGCCCTCCTTCAAACCGGGGCAAACCCCCAGTGTCTCCACGGACGAAGCTGTGCGAAACAACACGGCGAAAAGCGCCTTTGCAAGACGACTTAGGACTTAGGACTTGTGTAGCTCCCCAGGTTCTCGGAGTTGCTCTGTGCGAAACTCGCATTGCGTGAGCTGGGAGCTGGGCCGAGACACCGCTGTGATACCATTACTTGGGGCAAACGCAGAGACACCGGGCAAAGCAAAATCGGACAAAGGGACACGTCTAGAAAAACTACAATCTATAGTCTGTATCGGTTTTTCCGTTCCTCCCGTGAGATGCATTGGGTTCTTCAGGGAGGAGGGGAGGTCACAAGCCAGGCAGGAAGCTCCGCACTCCAAATATGTTGGACGAGCAGCCCACTTGGACGAACTGAATATATTTGTTGTGAAGATCAGGGACATGGAGCCGAGGAGGGGCCATGATCTTTTGGGTTTTCTCCCGTGATTTTCAACCAGAAACCCATGTTCGAACCGTGACTTTCCGACATATCTACATCTCTCAGGTGATCCTGTGGGTCTTTGCAGGAGCCGGCTAGGGGGTGGTGGGGGCTTGATTTCCCTCTGGAAAAGGATCCGAAGATTGTGGTGCTTTCTTGGCATTTCACGGTTTTTCAGTGGCCCTGACATGGACCTTGACTCCACACAAGCAAGCTTTTTGCGGCTGGGACATGTCCAAAGAACACCTCACCTTCATCTCATGGATTGGACAGAGTCCTTGGACTCGAATGGACCGCCCGCCGTGGGTTCTGGCCTTTTCGCCTGCCGTCTCGGGCGAATCCCCGTCTCGGTTGTGCTGATCCGCAGACGCAGGAACGATCTTCTACTACTTGATCCAGAACGAATCGACGGTGCAACTCTGTGCGGTGTGTACGGCACCGAGACTGATCCATCTTCTGTAGCTGGTTCAACCAAGAACATGGCGTTCTGAATCCCACCCAGCTACCTGAGAATCCGGCGTCGTTGAAATCTCGACTTCGATTGCAGGTCACCCTCGTGGTTTAGGACCACACTGGCCACGACGTCGATCCACCGGATGTTCACGTCGATTGGAAAAGCCTTCTCTCGTACGTGATGAAGCCCACTGTGCCTGTACCAAAGCAACACAACTTTCACCTCGTGATTGGCACTCAGGCCCCTCAAAGACGGAAACGGGATGGACCTTTGGCCAAAGCTTTTACTATTCGGCCCCTTAGCGGCCGTTCACGCGCTGCGCGGGCTTCACGCGCGTGAACAGCGGGAACCGGGGGGCAGGTCTTGAGAGAAGGGGGACTCCCCTCCAGAGGTGGCGAACGTTGTGAAGACTGATTTGAGGGCAAGCAATCCGAAGCACCTATCCAGATCCCCGGATCAATCTTCTTCTTTTTCTTCCGCTTTTTTCGGGTTTGGTGTCATGCTTTGTCAAGGCTGCTCCGGTCAGATGGGTTCACCAACCGGCAGCGCGTGCCTCGCATGTGGTTGCCGGTTTCGATACCTTTGCCTTAGTCCCCCCACCGGCACAGAAGATAGACCTGGGATTCGGATGGGGGAAAAGCACTCAAAAACAGCTCCCGCAACTGGCTTCTTTGAAGGTTTTATTCTGTTTTATTCAAAGGGCTCACTTCACTGGAGGGAACCATCGTTGTCAAGTCTTGTGTGTATGATGTAACACATTCTCAAATAGTCCTCCGAGCCGGCATTCTAAGTCTCCCCCCAGCATTTTGGACAATTGACACGCATTCTTGTCTTTCAGTCCGGTATAGTCATAGTCGTGTTCTTCTTGATGATAATTGCTTTGATTCTGGATTGCCAACAACAAGGACAGGCCAGGCCAGGCCGGGCCGGCCACGTCCTCCACGTCCGGAACCGAGCGGAGGTCCAGACGGGTCTGTCCATCGGCTTCGGCCTTCTGTCCGAGAGCAAGGCGCTGCTAGGGGTGGGGTGACGCTCCGGCATCGAGAAGCATGGGACTATAGTGGTCCCCCAAAAGATAGAAACGGTTTCCAACACATTTTTAATGGGGATCTACTTGGGGGTCTATATCCTTTTCATTCCTTTTCTCTGGAGCATGGCTGAGTTGTTCATGCTTGAGGTACTTTCGGATCAGCAGGGACAATCCTTCGACGTCCGTCATGCGACCCATGGTGCCTCAGGTGTACGCTGTTGACCCACCCATCTCATAGGGAAGAGTACATAGGGAAGAGTACATGAGAAGGACATTGGCCTTGTTTCCTCATTGGGAGATGAGCAAACAAGCAGGTACAAGTTGTTGAAGCTCCAGTTTCAGGAGCTTCTTTGGACAACTCGTCCTTCAACTGGTGCTCTACCGACAGTTCTCCGCACGCAGGACTGGAGCCGCGCCTACTCCATTTTCCATATCCTGATGGGCTCTTCTGTGATTGCAGGCGGATGGAGATGGAAAATGATGGAAACGGTTCAATTGGTCTTCACATGACGATTGAGCAGGGGAGCCTCGGTACTCGGCAGGCTGTCTTTCCTGGTTTGCATCGGCGACCTTGGAAAGACATTCGTCACTTGGCAATGGAAAAGGAGGAGGTGGTTTTCTCAGTTGTTGAATTAATATATAATATATACGGCGGCATATTGTTGGTTTATTTGCTTCGGGCACTGCTCTATTAATCTCAAACCTCAACTTAAGTATTATCTTTGGAGAGCAGCAGAGACAGCTGCAACGTTTCAACTGCGTGCATCCTCCAGTGCATTATGGTGTAGTCGTATCCAAGTGAAGTGTTGGCGGTTTTATGCACCGCTGAGGTGCCATTGCGACCATTCTGAAAGGGAGTTGGCGGGGAACCTCAGTCAGCGCAGAAATCAGAGCAGGGCATGAGTGACCCATGCCAACATCCTAGAGGCATCAGCCCCACTTTGCATCAACCCGGTGCTTCCATTTAGCCGTCCCTGGTGCTTGTGCAGGCACGCTTTGCACATGCATGCCACGTGGACGGCTACGATGGATTCAGCTGGGTGAACCTGAGGCACGGCATGAGGAAGTTTGGCAAGAACCTACTAGCGACGGCCTCCAACTAATAGCAATGGCCTCCAACCGAATAGCTTGGCAAGAGTGATTGTTTGTTTGGTCATTGATGTTCAAGATGAGTTCATCCTCGGGCATCATTTGAGTAGGTAGATGAATGTTCATCAAGTTGCCAAATCCGCATGCCACGAATTCCATGGCAGAGATGAGGTCCAATCCTGAAGACACTTAGCCTCTGCCATCCCCAGAGCATGCTCCGCTTGAAAGCTCGTCAGGTTTCAGGGAATCCAATCAGCTCGTCACACCTGACTGACCCAAGCTCAGCGTGCCAGGGACCTGATGGTCAAGTATCCACAGTTCGCGGAAGATTTTGTCTACAAGTTGGACTGCGGGACGGGGGGGCACATGAGCAGAAGACCCAGAGGAAATGCCTTCATCCTGAGTTCACAGTGGAGCATGTTTTGTACTAACCGTGGAGGTGTGGTGTCCAAGATGAAGGGGCTTTCGGTGCGACCAACTGAGTTCTCAGATTTCACTGACCCAACTGTTGGGTCTCAGCATTCGGGTGGCGACGGAGGCGCAACGCTTGTCACTTGGCGACGGAAGTGGCGCATTCGTGTGTGTCTTTTCAGCTGTGTTCTACGCTGCGTGGAGTCCGGCCGAAAGCTTTCCCTGACTTTGGTCAATGGTTCCCAACCCTGGTCTGAGTTTGGGCATTGTTTCACCCTGAATGCCCACCGCAGCAACCCTGATGGACATGCATGATGCTTAATGCAGCTGAACCGCCCATCATGCAGCTTCTCGACCTCATCTCCTCTTTCTCGACCTCGACCTCGCCACACGGGCGGTTGGAAACGCCGGTTTCGTGTGCTGCGCGCCAGGACAAGGATCACCAGAAGGTGACAGAGTTCCATGAGAAGTTTGAAAAAGCTGGTTTCTATGTGCCATGAGCTGAAAGATGGGGACATGGATAATTATGCTGGTTTCATGGTGGACAGGCACATGGCCGAGTGGTGGATGAAGGCAGCAAAACATGGTCCAGGGGGCTCATTCTCCTCAAATCCAAGACCCCAAACTCTGTAGATTTGTGGGAACCATATCCATTTGACCCCAAACCATGGAGCTCATCCCCTCCCCTCCACTCAATCATCATGATGGGATGATGATATTCCTTATGTGGTGCACAAATAGAGAAGTGTACACAGCTTTTGAATGATGGAGGGTGCACCCAAATCGAGAAGTGTACCTAGTTCGAAGGTGCGAAATGACGCACTGTAATCGAGAAGTGTACCAAGTGGAAGGGTTGACATAGCCCTTTTGTTCAAGGGCGGAAAACTATCCGCACGGTGCTCTGCGGGTTATGAGCCCAACGAGGCGCCCACTTCTCTAAGACCACCTCAGGGTCCCCCCTGGGTTGTTGGCTCCCATGGCGAGCGGCGCTGGATCGACCCCTGAGGAGGGGTCGATGGCCTCCGCGAAGGAGGATGGGGTGCTGGCGCTGGAGGATCAGCCAGCGACTGGCCTAGGGATGGAGCTGGTGGTTCGAGATGCCCATCCACGAGGTGATCCCACGGTGTACGGCCCGACGAGGTCAGGGGATGCAAGGAAGAGGGATGGCAAAGGCCGAGGAGGCTCCAAGCCGGTGGAAGTGAATCCTTTCTGGAGCCAGACCATGAAGGACGAGGCAATGTTGAGGGCTATGAGACCGGCTTCATTGCCAACGACTTCTTCGGCATCCGCGGCCGCTGGGAACCCTGGGGAAGATGAAGTTGGGGTGGACTTGAGGGACATCATGAAGATGGTCATGTCCCAGAATTCGATGCTCAAAAAGGAGCTGGCGGAACTTCGGAAACGGGTCGAGGACACCGAGAAGGTGAAGGTGGTGAGGGATGTGAGGGATTTCAAGGAGGGTTCAGTACCGGCTCCTCCAAAGGGAACACCTCCACCGAGCCCACCAGCGGGACCACCCCCGAAGTCGCCGGAGGAGATTCAGAAGGAGAAGATGAAGGAGATGGCAGAGATCCCTGAGTTTCCGGAGTGGACGAAGGTTGGACTTCGACCAGGACAGGGTGGACGTTCGGGAGTTTTCCACGTCGACGAACGAGGAGCTCCCCCGGTACCGGCGAGAAGCCACTTCATCCTTGCACTCCTGGAGGCGAAGGAGGTTGCCAGAGAGGGTACGGAGATCATAAAGATCGTCTTGGGGTTGGAACGAATGGTGATCCTTCGGGCCAACCACAATCGCCATCGGAAACGATGTTACGTCAACTTGGTCGTGGAGGAGATCAAGGAGGGTGGCTCAATGAGAGTATCAGGACGGTAGATCTGCCAGCGCTGCCCGAGCTCAAAGAGGGTGAACTTGGGTCGTTGGTGGTGGGAGATTGGCTGCAACTGGTCACGCCGACTATGATTATGAAAAAAAGCTATTGCTATCTCTGGAGTGTTCAAAAATAGTTATTTTTAGGAAAAAATAGGAATAAAATAGGACACCAAAATAGGAATAAAATAGAGCTGACAACACAAAATAGGAATAAAATAGGGCTGACAACAAGAACAACCGTGAAATTGGAAACAAATAGGATCGAATATTTCAGATTTACCGGAAGGCAGGTGGCTCATTCCGATCAGACGCATGGTCAGACACAAGCGAATGAAACTGGATATCTAATAGCAGTGCGGCAATGCACAGTTAGGCCGGCATTCGATTGGAATGATTAGATTAGATTAGATCTAATCATATATGTCCTTTCATTTTCCTTGAAACATTGATTATTTCCTTTAATGTTTCTTTAAACAATTAAAACTTCCTTCAATTTTCCTTTTAAAACTTATAACTTCTTTTAATTTCCCTTTAAACATATAAATTCCTTTCATTTTCCTTTAAGCATGATTAATTCCTTTCATGTTCAATTAAAAAAGATATAAATTTATGTAATTTTCCTTAAATTCATTTCATTGTCTATGTAATTTGTTTTTATTCCTATTTTT